TTTTACTTCTTTTAAGCACTTTAGATAAAAAGTCCTTACTACAAATAAGGCATAAAAAGAACCTTACTGGGAGTTCTTACTAGTCTTTCTCCCAAACAATCGCCTGAGAGTCAGCCATCTGAAAAAGGGATAGACTGGTGTTCGAATTTACAATTGTAAGTGTTTTGTACAAATACTCTGGCACGTCCGCAAAGAGTCCATCGATCGGCGTAAAACCGCGCGAACATATTTTGGCACGCCCGGTGGGACCACTAGTGGGTGTTTAGAAGAGGCAAAAATGCCACCACGGCTTACGAAGAATTCTAAGGCCATGGTTACTGAAGAAGAACTGGAGGAAGGACATCAGCTAGATCAGGCTGAGAACACTGCATCAGGCCCTACCGATGAGCTAACAGTGATGCAAGCACAGGTGAGTTCCTTGGTAGATGCAATAGGAAGGATGGGTGCATGTTATAATGACCTCCACGAAACTATGTTCTAACTCTCAGCTACCATTTTGAACTGGCCGACTAAGGCTAGCAGCTCCAATAATCAGGAATCGGCTCTTCAGCCGAATCTGTCACAATCTACTCAGCCAGAGAGGGCCATTGAATCATCACAACCATGGCCGCCAGTAATGATACTTCAACTAGGTGCAACATCAAGTCAGCCGACTCATATGCCACCAACCTGGGCTGAAAATCATCCGCAACCTTCTGTGTCAGGTTTAATCAGCCACCAGTAGTAACTCCGTGGCCACAGGTAATTCCACCAAACCCTTGGGTACCTTTGAACTCGGGGGGCAATCAGATCAGGTGGAAGCCACTGAACCCACTATATACTCATGTGCCACCACAGGTTGGGCTTGGGGGGTAGAACATGGCCAATCAGCCACATGATTGGCCGAATTACTATCAACCAGTGGCTAATCATCCGCCAGTTTATAATCAGGTACCGCTAGTAATAAATCAGCCACCATAGGTCATGCTAGACAGAGGACAATTAGCTAATTTACTTACCCAAGAATATGGCTTGGAACTTAGAGGTGCAGGCCGACCAATTTATAGAACTCCATATCCAGAAGTGGTAGATCAAGTTGAGTTTCCTAGAGGATATAAAGTCCCTAACTTTGTAACCTTTAGTGGCGAAGGGAGTCAATCGATCGTGGAACACATTGGCCGTTTCACAGTTCAATGTGGAGAGGCCAGTGTGAGCCCTTGGTTAAAATGAAGACTTTTTCCTAACTCTTTGACAGGGGCAGCTTTTTCATGGTGTATACGTTTACCTCCTAACTCTGTTTTAAATTGGCCACAGATGGAGGAGTTATTTCACAATCAGTTCTACCGTACGGAGACGGAACCAACTCTGGCCAATTTATCCAGGCTGAGCCAATTGCCTAGTGAATCGGTCAAGACATTCATTGCAAGGTTTAGGAGGGCAAGATTGAGATGCCGTGTAGCTCTTCCAGAATAGGAGTACATTCGTTTAGCCTTGAACGGCCTTAATTTTGAACTCCGAAGGAGGTTTGAAAGAGTCTCATTCCGTAACATGTATGACTTGGCCGAGAAAGCTACCAGGTATGAATTGGTCCTCAAGGAGGAAAAGGAATGGAAAAATTCCTCGAAAGGTACATACTATTGGGATCCCAATTATGAAGTTTTTTTAACCGATTTGGTTGAAGAAGAAGATTTTGATTCTAATCTTGCTAAAGTTATTATTAAGAAACCTTATGTATGTGAGGTTTTGACAAAACTGAAGGCATCTACCAGTGGTACTCAGCCATTGACTTCATCGGCCAAGAAAGGTACGGCCGATACTAGTAAGGTTTATACGTTTGACTTGGCCAAGACAAAACAAATTTTTGATCATTTGTTGGCCGACAAACAAATTGTCCTGCTAAAAGGACACAATATGCCATCAACCACTGATTTAAAAGGAAAAGAGTTCTGCAAATTTCATAATTCATGGAATCATACTATTAACAATTGTTATGTATTTAGAAATGTGTTGCAGAAAACAATTGATGAAGTTGCATTGAAATTTCCTAAAAAGAAGCCGGAAGTGATGGGGATTGATGGTGATCCATTTCCTAATATTTTAAATACCAACGTTATCAGCCTGGCAACTGAGAAAGTCGCTGATAATGGTAGACAAAAAAGAGCACCAAAAGTTCTTAGTAGTTCGTCATCGTCCAGCAGCGATGAACAGAGGGTAAAAGACTTGGAAAATTAGTTGAGAGAAGCTCAAATTGCCCTCATCAACCACGGTTATTGCCCAAGTTGCAAAGGCCGTGGGAATAATCAAGACAGGAGGGGCTATTTTCAATCGACCAGGAAGCGTAGTGTCCATAAGAGGTTAGGTTATCAGCCTAGATAGAATCATGAAGAAGTTAATTGGCCAATATTCAGAGAGAATAGGCCGAGGGCAGTAAGAATCATTCGGTCAGAAAGATCTGTGGCCGATAGAGTTCTGTCAGAGCAACATTCTTATCCTCATTTCAAAAGGAAACCAACAATCCAATCAGAAATATGGGTTCAAAAAGGGAAAGAATCTAGCCATGTTAGAACGGTCAGACCTCCTTTAGTTAATCATGGCAGATTGACTCAAGTGAATCATTCGAAGTTTCCTAAGCAGCCTCCTACACGTACTTAAAAAAGGAGGATGCAAAGGAAAAATGTAGAACTTAAAAGGAAAGAGGATAAAATTGACCAGGTTCAACCAGCTAAGGAAGATGAACCAGAGGAGGCCGAAAACATGAAGGTTGCTATAACTTTTAGGAATGAGACATCCTTTTATGAGGAGAAAGATGATCAGCCAGATCAAGATCCCAAACATGCGGCTAAGTACAGAATTCGTTTTGGCTCTCTTTCGGATGAGTGAATTGTAACATGGTATTTATTTTACCCTTTATTTTTAAAGCAAGGATAGAGCCAATGATGAAAAGGGATGTCAAATCAGCCAAACTTGAAGAGGAGGCTGAATCATCAGAAATCAAGAATGACTCGAAGAGTTCATCGGTCGGGGTAGGATTGGTCTCTCCAGGCCAAACAACTGAGGCAATAAAATCATCTTTGAGAAACCACATTTGGCCATGACACAACAATTGAGGCCATTGTATGTTAAAGTATGGGTTGAAGGTCAGCCAATTAATAGGGTGTTGGTTGACAATGGTTCGGTGGTAAATGTCATTCTAGCAACTACTTTGAAGAAATTGGGCAAAACCATAGATGATGTGGTTCCAACCGATGTAGCCATCAGTGGTTTTAATAGGGGATCTAGTAATACCAAAGGTATTCTGCCTTTGGAAATTACTATTGGTGGCAAAACATCCTTCACGGCCTTCTTTATCATTAATTCAACTGCGGCCTATAATCTCCTTTTAGGCCGAGATTGGATTCACCCTAATATGTGTATCACATCAACAATGCACCAAATGTTGATTTTTTGGGATGGAAATGAGGTAAAAATTGTTAAGGCTGATAACAAACTCTTTATAGCTAAGGTGTATTCGACCGAAGCTGCACTTTATGAAGAAACTGTTGTACCTATCAAGTTTGTAGGCATCAACAGGATGGGTCGACTAACAGCAGCAACAATGAAGAAGAAATTAATTAATACTGATATTGAAGAGTTATTGATAGAAGCAGCTCGGCAGAAAATTGATATTTTCAGGTCGACCATCAAAGAAATTGAAGATGTTTCTAATGGATCACACGACTAAAGAATAAATGAAGCGGCAAGCTTTCAGGGCCGCTTGTATAAGACTGAAAGCATATTTGGCTGAAAAGAGATTGGCCAAAGAAGAACTATTATATGAAGAGGTATCGGCCAGCACAGCCGATATAGTTCAGGAAGGTTTCGAAAAATTGGATGCAATCCAAATTGAAGATCTGGAGTCAGCCCCTTCCAGGATGGAAGATAATAAAGCAGAAGTGCAGGATCCCTTATTAGAAAATAATGTTGGTACTGAAAAAGATCATCGGCCATTATTTGTTAGTGCTTTGCTTGAGCCTAATTTTCAGGCCGATTTGATCAAGTTACTAAAAGAATATAAGGATTGATTTCCTTGGAGTTATGAAGAGATGCCTGGCCTATCAAGGGACTGGGTAGAACACAGATTACCTATCAAGAAAGATTTTTAGCCTTATAAGCAACCACCAAGGAGGATGTCCTTGGAAGTAATGCTCAAAATTAAGGAAGAAATTGAAAGACTTCTTATGGTAGGATTTATTCGAATAGTTAGGTATGTGGAATGGTTGTCTAATGTCGTTCCAGTAATAAAGAAAAATGGCAAACTTAGGATTTGTGTGGATTTTCGTAGTTTAATTATTACCACTCCAAAAGATGAATATCCAATGCCAATGGCCGATCAATTTATTGATTCAGCTGTTAAGCATGAAATATTGTCTTTTATGGACGGCCATTCAGGTTATAATCAAATCTATATAGCCGAGGAGGATATTCACAAAATGGCTTTTAGATGTCCTGGGTCAATTGGCACTTTTGAGTGGGTTGTGATGCCATTCGGCCTGAAGAATGCAGAGGCTACTTATTAAAGAGCAATGAATTCAATTTTCCATGATATGATTGGCCGATTTATGGAAGTTAACATAGATGATATAGTTGTGAAGTCATCGGCCAAAAAACAGCATTTAGAACACTTAAAAAAGGCCTTTGAAAGAATGAGAGTCCATAAGTTGAAAATAAACCCATTAAAGTGTGCTTTTGGGGTATCAGCAGGGAATTTCTTGGGATTTTTGGTACACAAACGAGGCATAGAAGTTAACCAGAATAAGGCCAAAGTTATTATGAATGCTATGGCTCCAACCAACAAAAAATGGGTGCAAAGGTTTCTCGACCAAGTAAGTTTTCTTAGAATGTTTATTTTTAATCATGATGGCCGAGTACATGCTTTTTCTCCTTTATTAAAATTGAAGTTACATGAGAAATTTCATTGGGATGAATCCCATCAGAAGGATTTTGACAAAATAAAAGAGTATTTGGCAAACCCCCCAGTAGTAATGCCTTCAAGGAAGAAATGGCCATTGAAGCTTTATCTGTCGACCACAGAAGAATCAATTGGTAGAATGCTTGCTCAGAATAATGAACTAGGGAAGGAACAAGCTGTTTACTATTTAAGCAGAGTACTAACTGATGTTGGATGCAGATATTCTTCAATTGAGAAACTTTGTTTATATTATTCAGCTATGAAATTAAGAATATATATGCGGCTGGTTGATATTTACATTCTTTGTCAAACTAATGTGATTAAATATATGCTATCAAGGCCATTAATCAATGGCCGAATAGGTAAGTGGGCATTGGCCTTGATGGAATTCAATTTTATTTTTGTCTCATAAAAATCAGTTAAAGGAAGGGTTCTGACTGATTTCTTGGCCGATCATCCTTCAACTGATATTAATCCACAGAAATATGATGAATTGGAGTCATCAGCCATATTCCTAACTCCTTGGATATTGATGTTTGATGGATCAAGCACGGCCGATGGAGCAGGGACAGGTATTGTTATCATTTCACCAGCCGAGAGAAAGACTTCATTTTCATTCTTCTTAGATTTTAAATGTTCAACTAATCAGGCCGAATGTGAAGCACTTATAATCGGCTTGGAAATTCTAATTGAAATAACTGTTGGGGATGTTAAGATTTTGGAAGATTCAAACTTGGTACTAAGTCAAATTACTGAAGATTTCAAATGTTTAAGTTGGCAATTAAGGCCGTTTCATTCTCTGGCCACTTCATTGTTGAATCAATTTAATACTGTTCAACTTAAGTTCTGGCTGAGAGGACAGAATAAGGAGGCTAATACCATGGCCCAAGCAGCCTTTGGAATTAAGGTACCAATTGGAATGGAGGATTGATTGATAAAAATCACACGAAGATCATTACCTTCTGCTGAATTAAGAAATACTATGTTGGCCGATTCCTGGGTAATTGATATAGAAGATCTGGCCGATGATGATTGGAGAATACCGTTCATAATGTTTCTCCGAAATCCAAACATCAAGGTTGATTGAAGTATCAAGAGAAGGGCAACCAACTTTTTACTTCTTGATGGGGATTTATACAGAAAATGCCTTGAGGATGGACTTTTACTACAATGCATTAGTAAAGAAGAGTCACTTCAGGTTATGGCCGAGGTGCATGAAGGCAGTTGTGGAGCCCACCAAGCTGGGATAAAGATGAGATGGCTGATTCGAAGGTATGGATATTATTGGCCAAGGATGAGAAAAGGATTGCATAGATTATGCAAAAGGGTGTCAGGCTTGTCAAACACATGGGCCGATTCAAAATGTACCAGTAAAAGAATTACAGCCAATAATCAAATTATGGTTGTTCAGAGGTTGGGGCCTTGACGTTATAGGTAAAGTCAATCCACCATCAAGTGAAGGCCATCACTGGGTGATTGTTGCCATGGATTACTTTACTAAATGGGTTGAGGCTAAAGCTTGTAAAACAGTTGATTAACAAACAGTGATTAACTTCATGGAACAACATATTGTCCATAGATTTGGAATTCCAGAAACATTCGTTTCAGACAATGCAATAGTGTTTAGGGCAGTTGGTGTGCTACAATTCGGCCATAATATGAACATTCATATGTCAGCCTCTACACCATACTACACCCAAGCAAATGGTCAGGCCGAGTCCTCAAACAAAATTTTGATAAAGATCATTAAAAAAATGATCAAAGATAAACCAAGAAGATGGCATGAGACTTTATCTGAGGCTCTATGGGCCTATAGAAATTCAAAAAGAACAGGCACAGGGGTTACACCATTTATGTTGACTTATGGCCATGATGTTGTTCTGCCTATGGAAATGAAGGTTAGATCGGCCAGGGTCGCATTCTAAAATAATTTAACTCCGGCTGATTATACTCAAGCAATGTTGACAGAGTTGGAAGACTTGGTTGAAGTTAGGCTGGATGTTTTGGATCATATCATGGCTCACAAAAGAAAGGTAATGAGGATCTACAATAAAAGGGTAAAACCTAAGTCTTTTGCTGAAGAAGATTTAGTTTGGAAAGTCATTATGCCAGTAGGTAAGGTTGATAGGAAATATGGAAAGTGGTCTCATAAATAAGAAGGGCCATATCTAGTTCATTAAGTCCTGAGTGGAGGAGCATACAGGCTGAAGTATCTTAGTGGCCGATTGTATGATTACCCCATTAATGGCAAATACCTTAAGAGATATGTGCCAACAATCTTTGAAAGGGAAAATTAGAGTCAGCCAGTACCTTTAGCTTACCATGTGTACCATGTGTAATAAAATTCGGCCTTTTTATAGGCTAATATAGTTGTTCAAATTTTAAATAAAAAGGAAAATCTTGTTGAAGTATTGATGATTGTTTAAAGCAGCAAAAGAGGCCATTTATTTATTAAAGTGTAGAAGGATTACATCATTTGAGTTCATACACTAAAATGGCTACAAAAAGGGTCCCATTGAAATAAAAGGTTTACATGTTTGCAAATTTCTTCTTGAAATCGGCCCAAATCACCAATGTGATACCCCTCGGATCCGAGACACGGGTTGATCAGGCCCAGGCCCAAACCCGAGGGATATTAAACAATTAATATGTAACCGAACATAGAATATAAGATAAAATAAGAAATAAAAGTAATAAGCTGAAAGAATGCTAATTGAAAATCCTTAAAATAATAATAATTATTGAAATCTGTTAAATCCAAACTACATAGGTTTACGACTTGGGAATCTATCCATTGGACCCCTTATTAAAGATTCTCAAACCGAAACTGAAATAAAAGAAATAAAATCTAAAGCTAACATAAAGAAGATTCCTACATAGTCGGAGGAATGAATATCTGTATCTGCTCTGCACGTCCAAGCTCTAACCCTGGAACTGACGAACACCTGAAAAATAAAGGAGTGGGTCAGGCCCAAATGCAAGTCCTGATCTACTACAATCCAAATAGTAATCCGGTACGCAGATACATCCTAGGAAGACTCAACAATATCTAGAGTAGTCCATATAAGTATATAGTACACACTATAGGACGCTCGCTAGTCCAGTAGGTCTGTCTCAGCCTAAATAGAAGGCAACATGCAAATACGCACCCTAAGGTGGACATGAGTACCTAGACCTACCAGGGAACAACACCTATGTCCAATTATCCATCCTAGGCGATATGCGTGCCCTAACCATGGTCATGATACCAAGCTCATACCACGACACCATATAATATATATATATATATATATATATATAAAGTCCGTACTCCTCCTAATACAGTATACCATCCATCTGTGTAGTGGTCTGATATATGTATAACAAATCCGTCCGGAAACCATAGTAGATCATTCAATTCACAATTGATATGACACATGTAGGTGATGGACTTAACCTTTATGATTAATCCATACATTAATCCAAATTTAGGTAGGCCAACTGTCTGAACTAGTCCATACCTAGTATGTCACCGTCCCATACCGGTACATACCATCCTCCAGTTAACAGAGTTAATAAAATAGTACTAGATAGTCATCAACCCAACTCCTAAAATATGCATAAACCAAATTAATCCATAAATATAAAACTTAGGCATTCAGTCCAGGCCTAGAAATTATATTCCAACCATTAAATTTGCTAATTATGAAACATAGCATGTACATCATGCATCAAATCCACTAATTGATAAAATTAACTGAACTGTTATATCAATTTACTTCCAACCAAACATAAATAATTCCAAGAATTTATTATGCTTATAAAATTGTCTAAATATAATTAAAACAGTATTAAACAAAAATCCCAATTCCAGTCCGTTAAATGACAAAACAAAAGTATGCAATTTACTTCTCCAAACAGTGTCATAACTGATGCAATTTATATCCAGTTTTAATCATCAGTTAATTCCATCCATATTTACATCTAGTTATACTACTATATGTTTATACCATAATAAAAATATGACTAGCAGTTTAAGATTATACAGAGAAATCAAAATTTCAAAAATAGTAGACAAAAGAAAATTAATTCTTCAATCATCCTCCTACTGTTTTCTGTTTAAACTAAAGTTAATTCCATCCTCAATATCTACTTGTAACCATGCTTCTCAACATTTTTATAAGTCTTTGGCAATGATTTACACCCTCCAGTAGCTTTTAAATAACTTTAGAAAACCAATTTTCAGCCCAAACGGACCTTAAAATCAAAATTCTGGGCAATTAAAGAGAGAGCAGGCTCTAGAAAAAATTTGAGCCTGCTCTTTCCATCTAGAGCCAGCTCTAAACTCTTTAGAGCCTACTCTAGTGCACCAAGAGCTGGCTCCTCCTCTTTGGGAGCCGGCTCTAAGGGTTTTGGAAGCCAGTTCTTCCTCCTTTAGCAGCCTTTTATTCGTTTAAACTTCGTTTTCTTCGATTCCTGTGAGTACCAGTTCTCTGTAGTACTTTTATTACATGTTTTTAAGGTCTATTCCAATTCCAGATTGATTATAAAACAAGGATATAGAATGATATTTAATCAAGACTTGAATTGAAAAACAAATTGTTACCCAACGGAGCAAGGTTACAAAGTTACAGTTTTTATTACTATCTTTTTAAAACAACCAAGAACAGGTTTATTCCATGAATTGAAACATTAATTAAACATGCATAAAGGTTATAATTAAGCCTTAGTTTAATTCCTGGAGTCTTCCTAAACACGCACAGAACACATATTAAAGAGATAGAGCAGAACAGAACTTGCCTTGAGTTTCAGACTTTGAAACTCTAATTCCACAGTTTCTGTATTCTCCCTTGAACTGCTCTACCAATTCCCCACGCTCTGATTCTTAGCAGCCCCTTATGTTACAGACGTAACCTTATGTTTGTCTAAAACCCTAAACCCCAGTACGTGTATGTATTTATAGACCTAACATTAACCCTAATCCATAAATAACTTGGCCCATTAAAACCCTAAATTCAGATAAATAAAATAACTACACCATGAATAACTAAATAACCTAGTTAACCAATTAAGGTAAGTCAAACAAATGACATAATAATAAGCAATTAATTTAATTTAACTCAGTGAAAGAATTCAAATAGTTAATTACACCAAATAGAAACAATTAGACCCATCAATTAAATTCAAGTACCAAAACAATTAAACCAATTAAATAATTAAATTAAAGCAAGTAAGTAATTAAATGCACTAAAACAATTTAAAACAATTAAACCACACCAAAGAAAACAAATGCAATTTAACCAACAAAATAAATACCAGGACTATCTTTTTGAAATTTAAGGTATTACAACCAAGGACTGATTGAAAGCAACCATGGCTTGTCTCTTTGATTCTTCTAATTTTGGTAATTCTTCACGAAGATTTGCATACTCGTGAGCAAGGTCTTGAGCTTCAAACTGCAATGTGGCAACCTCGACAGACAAGATGGCCTTACGAGCATGAATCTGGTCGATCTCTTTTTGAAGGACTCTCTCTCTTTCTTCAAGGATGATGAATTCTGTGTTCACTCGGTCAAAGATAGAAGCTTGGATCAACAACTCTTCACCAAGAGTATCTTTCTTACTTTTGCTCTTATCAAATTGGTTGATTGATTCATTGGCTTGAAAAATCTCATCAGCCAGAGCTGGAAGTTGACCTTTGAAAGTAACAATGGTGGCTTGTAGATCGACATGGAAGTCTGGATACTGGCTGAGTGTGGTAAGAACAACCGTGAGCTCACTTTCAAACTTGGGAAGATCAGCAGCATCTCTTTGCAAGATTTCAACCAAACTTCTTTTGGTTTCTCCCATGGTTTGTATTGGAACACTGGCTAAGGTAACTGGGGTCACTCCTGAAGATTCACTCTTTCTTTCCTCAGTCATTGAAGCCACCACATCTTTGAAGAAATTACTC